AGCACTCAGCCAGCCTGCCTGGGGTGGGCTCCGCTCCCCACTTGGGTTCTGGGTGCAAAGTATACAGACTGAGCCCGAGGGATGGGAACGTGTCCTTCTTCAGAGCTCCTATCTCTGGCCCTGCTTTCCCTTCCTTACACAGTGGAACAAAACTGGGGGCCAAAAGGGTTGCCAACCTCCAGTTGGGGCCTGAAGTTTCCCTGGAATTACAACCTCCTCCCAGCGGACAGAGATCGGTTCCCCTGCAGAAAAAGGGCTGCACCGGAGGGAGGACTCTACAGCCCCGGTTCCCATCTCAGGTCCCTCCCCGGCCCCAAACTGGGCATTTCCCAGAATCTCCCCCCCCCCAAAGTCCAGCAATTTGTCGGGAGTTGGCAACCCCGGCTGAGAGTCTTCCTGGCCTTCCACCCTCCCTCACCAGACCTCCGAGCTTCCCCCCCCCCACGCCTTACTTCGAAGGGACCCTTCCTGGAGCCGGCTGGGCGGCTTCTTCCTGCTGCGGCTTCTCTGCACCCCCTCCAGCCCCGGAAAAGCCCCTCTCCCCTTTCCCGCCCCCCCCCCCGCTTGGCCTCTCTAGCAAAAGGCTCTGCAGGTTTAACCCTTCCAGCGCTGCAAAGAAATGAAAAAAAGCCTCCCGCCTTCTCCGGGAGGAGGAGAGTTCCAAGTGGGCAGGCAGCCGTGTGGGTCTGAAGCTGCGTTTAAGAGATAAGGGGAAGAAGAGCACCACAGGCAGTAAGAGGCACACAGGGACTGGGCGAGGGGAAGAGAGGAGAGAGGGAAAGCGGGCAGATGATGTTCTGGAGGGTGCGTGCCCAGGCGCTCCTTTCCTCCGTGGATGGCCGTCCAACCTGCAGCAGAGCAGAAAGAGTGGCCGGAGACTGCCCCAGATTTTAAACAGCTGTTGCTGGCTACGGGGGTGGGTGGGACACATTTACCAATCTCTTTTCTGCGCTCTAATATCTTTCCGCCATGCCATTGCTGCTGCTGCGGTACGATGTGGGGCCTTCGGGTTTTCCCGCCCGGCCAGAAGAGGAGGTGGGCCAGAAGGCTCCGCCCCACCAAGGACTTCGCAGGGAGCCGCCTCCCCCCTTGCCAGGGGTGGGGCGGGGCGGTCTGAGGCCGGGCTGGGAATCAGGGGAGTGAAGAGCCAGCAGTGGCCAGTACACAGCAGGAGCTTGGGGGGGGGGGGCTTTTGGCGGGGGGGGGCTTGGGCTGGGCCCCCGGCGAGCTATAGGCGAGAGGCTGGCTCGCCTAGTGAGCGAGCCGGCCCTGCATGGGGTCGCGAAGAGTCGGACTCGACTGTGCGACTGAACAACAACAATTGTTTATTAGTGGGAGAATCGGATGAAATGGTGGTTGACAAAAAGTTACCAGCAATGAAGTGCCTCCTGATCTGTTGTTCAATGTAATTTGGGGGAATTGTTGTCAAGGGATATGATCCATTGACTCCTGCTGCTCCATGTAATTGGGTAAAGCTTCTGTAAATGTATTCGTTATGGCATATTCCAATTTAGCAGGAAGTCTTCCAGCCGTTTTGCTTTATTCACTTTACTGTATAATGTGTTTATTGTTTATTGCCTTTTTTATTCTGCTCATTGAATTGCAGTACTCTGATCTCTTTATACTTGTAGTTACAACATAAATTGGGTTATTATTTCATGGCATTGTTAGCCACTTTGAACACGTTTTATGGAAAGGTGGGATAGAAATCTTTCATAAAAACTATAACAAAAATTACTCTTGAATAGGCAGGGCATGAACTGCTAACAGCCTGAAGAATCAACCATTTATAAATTATGACACTGAAGTCACATGCGAGGTATTTTGAATTCCATCTTAATTACCAAATTGTTGTTGTTGTTGTTCAGTCGCACAGTTGAGTCCGACCCTTCATGACCCCATGGACCACATCACGCCAGGCCCCCCTGTCTTCCGTTGTCCTCTGGAGTTTGCTTAATTTCATGTTTGTTGCCTCGATAACACTGTCTAACCATCTATCTCATCCTTTGCTGTCCCCGTCTTCTTTGACCTTCAATCTTTCACAGTATCGGGGTCTTCTCCAGTGAGGGCTCCCTTCTCATTTGGTAGCCAAAGTCTTTGAGCTTCAGCTTCAGCTTCAGGATCTGGCCTTCCAGGGGTTGATTTCCTTTAGGACTGACTGATTTGATCTCTTTGGGAATACCATTGCTTTGACCATACGGACTTTTGTTGGCAGGGTGACGTCTCTACTTTTTATTATGCTGTCTAGGTTTGCCATCGCTTTCCTCCCAAGGAGCAGGCATCTTTTAATTTCATGATAGTTACTGAAAACCCCATGGACAGTAATTATCAAATAGTAAACTATTATTTTATTATTCAAACGGGGGTCATCTTATAGATCCAGCCTTGATATCATTTAACAGCAAGGTTGTTCCTCATCTCCTGAACGGAGCAGAAGTGTGGAGATGGGATAAGGGCGTTACATCCAGTTTGGAGGTAATTCAAAATCGGTTTTTATGACTCATTCTAGCTTGACCAAAGGGGCCTCCAGCTGCCCCGATGAGAGCAGAAACATGATGCAGCCCTACTTTGGACCGTGCTCTTAGTGAACATGCTTCTCTCCTGGCCCCGCACCATAACCTTGAACTGCAAAACACTCCACTGCGTTTCTGTATCTAAATATAAAGTCTGGAAGGTGCAGAGGTGGCCTAAACGTGAATGAGTTTTCCAGTGCACCTTGATCTGCGATCTTCATGCGTGAACAAGCCACAAGTAGCGGGTACCTGTTGGAACTCCCCTTGCATGTGTTCACGAATCCATTTGTTCCGCTCCCTGCTTTTAAAAGTTAGGCTGGAGTAATGATTCACCAGCTTAATTACTAGGGCAACAGGGCCGCAATGGTGAGTGACAAACCCTTTTAGATCCAACACCGGCCAAGCATTCGCAGACATGGAAATTACATAGCCCAGGTGAGAGGGGTTGTTCAGTTCTACGCCTGGCTGACCAAAAACCGATTAGCGAAACTCTTTGATACATTTCTGGTACAGCATCCCAGAGAAATGATACGCACGAATACGCACACACTCAACTCATATATATGTGACCACACACAGAATGCTCACAAGCGGAATTGCAAGCAAAGCGGTTACACAAGAGAAAAACGACAGGCCACTAAGAGATGCCGTTTAATTTAAGTGCTTGCGGGAAAATAATTGTAGAAGGAAAGCAGGAGCAGTTCCCTCCACATGGATGGAAAAGGGGTGGGACTTTTGGAAGTTGCCACAGCTGGTTTTAGGTTCAGTTCAAGATGACCCATGAGAGTTTGAGAGAAAAGGAGGCTGAACTGGGTTAGTTAGACTCCAAGAACGGAATACTGGGGGGCTCTTGTCTGAATTACGGCGCTGGATTACTGACCCAGAAGGAGCATTTCCCTTGCGGAAGGATTGACATAAATATGTAGATGCAAGGGAAGGAATGAGGGAACTCTCATCACAGGTGAAGTGGAAGGTCAAACAATATGACCTTCACCTTACACTAGGAGGGTGGGGAGAGCGATAACAGCACATTCAAAAGGCATGGGCACTTTGCAGGAAGCTGTAGGACTTGGGGCACCTTTCAGCCCTTATGGGTTTCTCCACTGTCTCTCTGAGGCAGAGGCGCAGGCACTGAAAAGGGGCTTGTGGATGGTTTTGTGTGTCTACATGGGAGTGATGGGCCATTCTCACATTTTAAAAAAACCAAAAGAAAGCTGGTGGCATTAACAAAAGTTGTATGATAGGAAAGAGATGGTGAGGAGAAGACTTCTCTCTTTCTTATCCTAGCCTGCGTGGGACCGACATGAGTTAGGAAGCAGGATGAAGCCTTGGACAAGAGAAGAAGCAAAGCGTTTACTCATGGGAAAGAACGGCCGCGTCGTGATCATCTCGGCTTTGTCATGTCTATCACAGGTAAGTCACATTGGATTCCTCTTTGCATTGGCTAGGGCGCTCCGGGAAAGCTGGAAGTGAAAGAAAGGCAGGGAGCTGACAGGAAATAGAAGGTGACTAAGAGTTTGAAATGATTTAAAATGTAGAAAATATGTCTCAGAAAATTACAATGGATATGAGGGTGAAGCTAACAAAAATAAATTATTATAAAAATACTAACTTTTTTTAAGATGTAAAGATTTAGACTCTGAGCTGCATACCAGAATGTCTGTCGCTTGGCAGTTCAAGACCCGAGTGCCATGTGACGGAGTGAGCTCCTGTCTCTGGCCCCAGCTCCTGCCAACCTAGCGGTTGGAAAGCAAGGAATTGCAAGTAGATAAATAGGTGGAAGGTAACAGTGTTCTGTGCACCTCGACATTTAGTCATGCTGGCCACATGACCACCGAGAAGTCGGCTTGGAAACGGAGATGAGCAACACCCCTTAGAGTCAGATTCGACTAGGTTTCGAGCAAGGGAAAGATAAAAGATAAAATAGGTTAAAAGAAATGGTCCAAATATCAGACTCTTAAAACTTTTTGCATACAGAGATATTAGTTACGCATATACAATTGATGGATACATCTTATGACCAATAGACCTAGGGGGCTGAAACACATATGGTCTATTGGTCATAAGATATATCCATCAGTTGTATATATGTGCCACTGATATCTCTGTATGCAAAAAGTTTTAAGAGTCTGATATTTCCTTTAACCTATTTTATCTTTTACCAATGTGTACACCTTAATATGCATTAGTTATTTTTATAATGATTTATTTTGTTAGCTTGACCCTCATGTATCACAGAAAATGTCTCTCAGCCATGGAGAAGAAAGAGGAAAGATCTGGGCTTCTATAACACAGTCAAGGCAATGGCAAACCACCTCTGCTTCTTGCTTTCCTAGAAAGCCCCTTTGGTTGCCGCTCAGTGGCAATTGCACACGCACACACACGAGGTCAGGAAAGGCATATACTGCAAAAAAAGTGAAGGGAGATTCTGAGGTCTGACTAGATAGGATGAAAAACAGTGACTAAAATTCTACCTGTTTGTTGGGTGTGTGTGTGAAGATGGGATGAGTGAAGACAGAAGATTAAAGAACAACAGTGTAGCATCCAACCATCTTAACTCTTTCTCTTTTAAGATCCCTCAGGTGGAACTTCAGGGGAGCTGCACAAACTCCGGCCAGTGAGTATATCAGACATCTGAACACAATCAAGTATCAAAGATTCCTAAGTACCTCCATTTCTGGAGGGATGAGGATCCGAGACGGGGGAGATTCATGGGATTTGGTGAATGGTCCCCTCGGTCCTGCCACTTCTGTCCCAGTTCGGTGAGAGTGGTTAAGTGCACGGACTCTAATCTGGGAGAACCGGGTTTGATTCCCCGCTCCTCTGCTTGCACCTGCTGGATGACCTTGGGCAAGCCATAGCTCTGTCAGAGTGGTTCTCTCAAGGACAGTTCTGGAAAGAGCTCTCTCAGCCCCACCCACCTCACGGGTGTCTGTTGTGGGAAGGGAAAGGAGTTTGTAAGCTGCTCTGAGACTCCAAGTGAAGGGCGGGATATAGATCCGATCTCCTCTTTTTCTCCTCCTCCTCCTCCCCCTCCTCCTCCCAATGATCTGACAAATAAAATCCTCTCCTGGATCCAATTTAGAATCTTTTCACCCAAGAGGGTGTCCGTGGGAGTAAGAGGTGAAGGCTGAACTAGGGTTGTGAGAAGCATTAGTGCGTTTAAAGGGAAGGGGGGGAATTGAAGAAGAAGAAGAAGAAGAAGAAGAAGAAGAGATTGGATTCATACCCTGCCCTTCACTACCCAAAGGTGTCTCAGAGCGGCTTACAAACTCCTTTCCCTTCCCCTCCCCACAGCAGACACCCTGTGAGGCGGGTGGGGCTGAGAGAGCTCTGACAGAAACTGCTCTTTTCCAAGGACAGCTCTTATCAGAACTATGGCTTGCCCAAGGGCATCCAGCCAGGTGCAAGTGGAGGAGTGGGGAATCAAACCCGGTTCTCCCAGATTAGAGTCCGCGCACTTAACCACAACTCCAAACTGGTTGGACCTTCTCTGCCCTCCCCCAATGCCAGTCCCCAGATTTTGGAGGTCCTGTGGCAAGTACCCTTCAAAGGGCCACTTAAACCTGGAAGAGGCAGTACAGGCAAATTAGGAATACTCCGGCCTTCCTGGGTTTCTGGCTATACCCAGTCAAAATGGCAGCACTGTTGGGGCTAGGGTTGCCAGGTCTGGGTTGGGAGACACCTGGAGACTTTGGGGGTGGATCCAGGAGAGGGCGGGTTTTGGGCAGAGGAGGGGCCTCAGCAGGGTACAAGGCCATATAGAGTCCACCCTCCAAAGCAGCCATTTTTCTCCAGTGGAATGGATCTCGATCGTCTGGAGATCAGGCGTAAGAGCAGGAGCTCTCCAGGTGCCACCTGGAGGTTTGGAAGCCTAGTTGAGGCAGTGGGGTGGAGCCAGCCACCGTGCAAGGAGCCTTCCTTCAGCCTAAGGAAGAGCCGCTTAAATTGAAGGAAGCCTCCTTAGACTGAAGGAAGGCTCTTTAGCCAAAGGGAATGGCAGGGAATGAATATTTTAGTTAGTAAATAAACTTTGCTCAGTGGAGAGGTAAGACAGGAGTAGGATCCACCCCAGGGGCAAATGCCCCAGGTGATGGCCCCAGCACTAGTCTGGGCTGTAGAGCCGTGGTGGTGGTCCATCCTAATCACCGGCTTCTTTTCTCCACTCTTTGCTAGAGCAACTAGTGAGGAACGGATCAGTCTCATGTTTGAACCAGCCCCTCCTGGGTTGCATTTCTGACCATGAAGGGAAGGGGTGAGAGCAGAAGAGGGGCTGTCGCTCAGTGGCGGAGCATCTGCTTGGCATGCAGAAGGTCCCAGGTTCAATCCCAGACATTTCCAGTTAAAAAGGACCAGGCAGTAGGTGATGTGAAGGACCTCTGCCTGAGATCCTGGAGAATTGTAAAGAGGGGCCATGGCTCAGCGGCAGAGCCTCTGCTTGGCACGCAGAAGGTCCCAGGTTCAATCCCAGACATCTCCAGTTAAAAGGACCAGGCAGTAGGTGATGTGAAGGACCTCTGCCTGAGATCCTGGAGAATTGTAAAGAGGGGCCATGGCTCAGCGGCAGAGCCTCTGCGTGGCATGCAGAGGGTCCCAGGTTCAATCCCCAGCATCTCCAGTTAAAAGGACCAGGCAGTAGATGATGTGAAGGACTTCTGCCTGAGACCTTGGAGAGCTGCTGCCCATCAAAGTGGACAATATTGACCTTGATGGACCAAGGGTCTGATTGAGTATAAAGCAAGTTTAGGTCACTTAGAGGGGGGCAGGAAGCTGTTCCCATTGGCAGCAGAGGATAGGACTCGCAATAGTGGGTGTAAATTATGGGCTGGATATTAGGAAAGCATTCTTAGGGTAAGAGAAGCTGCCTAGGGAGGTGGTGAGCTCCCCTTCACTAGCGATCTTCAAGCAGAGGCTGGAAAAAGACTTCTCAGTTTGGTGGTTAGGAGCTCGGACTCTAATCTGGGAGAACCAGGTTTGATTCCCCCCCCCAGCCCAGTTCCCCCCCCCCCACTTCCAATTTTTCAATTTTATTTATGGCGCTCCCTGCCATGGGGAACTGTTCCACAATACATTGTCTAAAAAATTTTAAAAGATATAAATTCATGTGCAAACCAGCTCTTTGCTTTGTTGACATTCACCTTGTCTTGAACCTTTCCTTCTCCTCAAGCTGCCCCGATGCAAACTTGATCCACATCTGGTACATCTGGTAAGTGTAATGTGGGGAGGGCAATTTTCCCTCTAAGCTGTTGAGTCTTGTGAGCACAAAATCTACTTTGTGAGCTACTGGCATTAAAGTTGTGAGTGAGTGATATGGCTACTGCATAAATTAGTTTGCTCCGGAGCCATCCTTCCTGAGCTAAGACAAAATTGTGTGAGCCAGAGGCAAAAAAACTGTGAGCTAGCTCACACTAACTCAGCTTAGAGGGAACACTGGGGGAGGGGTAACCGTTTCCTTCACAATGCATGTGTGGATGAATTGTGCTGATTACTTCTCCATTCTTCTGGACCTCAGTGAGGACTAGGGATGGGCATGAATTGAACCACAAGGCAAGATTCATCATGAATTTTGCCCTGTTCCTGATTCATGAACAGAACCTGCCATGAACTTCCAGAGCATTTCATACATGGAGCAGAAAGCAGGGGCTTAAAGGGACTTCAAGTCCCTTTAAACCCCTGCCTCTGTTCCCCATGAAAACCACAAAAACAGTTGTTTGTGGTCACAAGAGAGGGCCTTTTTGGTGGTATCCCGAAGATTATGGAACAACCTCCTCAAGGAGGTGAACCTGGCCCCCTTTCTGTCTTTTAAGAGGCAGTTCAAGACAGTTTTATTTATGACTGCCTTTAAGTTACTAGCAGTCCTAGATTGTGATTTTTAAATGTTGGTTATTTAATATATTTTATGTCTTCTATTTTACATATTTTATCTACACTGCAAGCCGCCTTGACCTCTATAAGGGTGTAAGGCAGCTAATAAATGTTTTCAATCAATCAATCAATCAATTCTTCCCTCCTCTACCAAGTCACTCTGGCATGTATCACTTCAGATTTTCCAAACCCCACCTCGCCCCTACTCCTGACACTTACTACAAACATGGCTGAGACAGCAAAGGCAGAAAACGACACTTAAGTTCTTTCTCAATTGTGCAAGTATGTATTCTACATCAGCTGTAGAGGGAAGGGCAAGATGTGGGAGAATGAAGCTAAAGCGCCCCTCTGAAAGGCTTGGTTGTCCAGGCAGACTCTGTTACATTTAGATATAGACATACACGCCCAATACTAGAAAGGAGAGTTGCCTTCTAAGGGTCAGTCCACACACTGAACTACATGCCTACACCCAGGGCTATTTTGGGGCAGGAACGCACAGGAATGTTCTGGCTGGCTTCAGAGTTGGCCATGCCCACTACAGCCAAAACCGCTGTGTGCATGGCTACAGAGGGAAGGCCTGGAGAGCAAACCCCCCTCGGTGACTCCGAGGCAGGCGGGGCCAGGGGGCCCCTGGAAGGATCGGGGAGGCATTTAAATGCCTCCCTGTGCCTTCCCCGGCCTATCCAAGGGTCGGCTTGCCCGGGCGCCCCGCAGCTGCAGTGTGCCCGGGCAAGCCAAGGTAAGGCATGGCAGTTTGGCCTAATATGCTAATGAGCTGTACTGTCAGGGGTGTGGCCTATTATGCTAATGAGTTTCTGCTGTTGGGTGTGGCCTATTACGCTAATGAGTTCCTGCTGGGCTTTTTCTACGAAAAAAGGCCCTGCCTACACCCCAATGGTGCATGGCAGAACATATGATCAGGCAGTCACTACATGTACGTGTCTATCTCTACTCCCTATGTGAGCGATCTCCCTCTTTGAATTTGACACCTATTGAACAAACAGTGCATATAGGACTACCTGGTCTTCCCGAGACTCAGATGCTGAGACAGACACCTGCTGGATGCCAGTGAATATTATAGAGTCTGTGGGATGGGGGTGGAACCTAGTGGGGTAAAGGATGGTACAGCGTGAAGGGCAAAATCTCACAAGTGAATCAGAAAAACAGCCTTTTCCTCTGGACTCTGGCTCCTCACCGTGAGATATTAGTTCTTCCTCTGGAGACTCTGGGAAGAAGGAGGTCAAACTCTTGACAGTTGGTATCAAACCCAGTGGACACTTGCCGGTAAGCTGTCCTTGTGGTAACCGGATGCTGGATAGCAGAAGACACCAAGGCAAGGCCTCAGAACAAGGAGGGGAGGCTGGAGAAAGCTTCCTACAAAGGCCGGGTGGTGGCAGTGGTGAACTGAGGGAGAGAAAAGCCCCTCCAGGTGTTGGGAAAACCAGGTGGGTGGTATGTTCCAGGTGGAGACCTTGGGCAGTCACTGGTGCCCAGGTACCTCTGAGGGCATGGTAGAATAGGGCCTGCAGGTCACAGCAGGGTTTCTATGGCCAGACGGGCATAGTGTAGTTGTTAAACTGTTGGACTAGGATCTGGGGAAAGCCAGGTCCTAATCTAGGGTTGCCAAATCCAAATGAGAAGCCAGTGGGGGATTTACCAGGATGCTCTAGGAGAGAGGAGGGAAGAAGCGCGACATGCCTATGTCACCCAGAAGTGATGTAGGCATGTTGGTGACATTGGGGGCGACACTCTGGTTTTGGGGCAAAACTCTATGGTTTGAAGCTAATTCTACCATAGAGTTTTGCTCCAAAGCCAGAGTGTCTCCCCCATGTCACCAACATGCCTATGTCAGTTCTGGGTGACATAGGCACATCACGTACGGGGCAGTAACTCTCACCAGCTGGCTGGTGCTGGGGGAGGAGCGCTAGAGACCAGGGAAACCCCATGTGCTGGGAGAACCTGGCAACCCTATTCTAATCCCCACTGTGCCACAGAAGCTTGCTGGGTGGCCTTGAGGCAGTCAAGGCCTGCAAGACGGAGCTCTTCCACCAAGCTTTTGGTTGAGGCGGCAGACATCCCTCTTCCTTCCTGGCCATATCCCCCTTAGTGGCCTGGATTTTAACATCCGTACTGCTGAATTGACGTTGGTGGCCTGGACTTTAACATCAATATTGTTTAATTGATATCAGAACTAGCTTGTTTGCACAGTATTTTATGGTTTGGTTTTGTTGTTAATGGTTGTGTTAATGATATTGTACTGAGATTATTGTGAACTGCCAAGCCCATTTACGGGGAGGGCAGTATACAAATCAAATCAAATCAATAAATAAATACATACATACACTCTCAACCGCTGTTGTGAGGATAAAACAGAGAGGGATCAACTTAAGATGCATTGGGTCCCCATTGGGGAGAAAGGCAGGATTATCAATAGATTAAATAAACAAGCCCTGGTGCCTTCTACCCAGCTCACTATAGAGTGGAGACCATTGCTCAGGTGACCAGGTGCACCCTCACCCTTTCCTAGGACCCTTCCCCTACATGAAAGACAGTGATGGCTCTGGCCCTTCTTCTTCCCTCCCAGGCTTGCGGTGGCCATTGGTGGGCTGCTCCTTCTCTGTGTCCTGGTCTCTGTCTGCATGAAGTGTTGCTGTCTGAACTGCCAACCTGCTGGGGAGGAGAACAGAGCCCACCCTTACGAGGTGACGGTCATCACCTTTGAACACGACAGCAGCACTCTCCAAAGCACCATCACCTGTGAGTGAAATGCGAGCCCCAAAGGGTTAGGGAGCATCTCAGGAGCCTCAGGGCAATGGACACCCTTTGAGCTGACCGTACACTGAGTGGAAAGAGTACTGTTAGCCAAATGGGCCTGGCATGCCAAAGCCCAATGATGAGCACTTCCAGTGAGACTCCAGAAGCAGACACAACTTTATTGGCAGGAAAACCTCAAGGGCTCTGTTAATATGACACCAGCATTAACCTTTTATACAATGTAACCAACAACTTTTAGACACGTGCAGATGTCTTTAGAGGTTACTCTTCCTTTATTTCTATAAAAGTACATCTGCCAAGCATATATGTCTTTTGCTCATATTTGGAATACTTAGGGTTTTCTGTAAGCCTTGCAGAACAACTTCTGTTATTTCTAAAGACCACTTTTTGCTTAATCGGGGTATAAATCCAATATCATCATCTTCTTCTTCTTCTCTGCAAGTAGCACCTCAGCATTTGTTTTTTCCCCCTTGCAGCCCTGCATTCAATGTTTGGGCCAGCGGCTCGACGGATTCTCGCCATGGCTCATTCCCACAGTGCCGCACCAGAAATGCATCCCTCTGCCGGAAGTGAGACGCCCCCCATTTATGAAGAGGCCCTAGGCATGAGCAGGTTCACCGTGGCCAGAAGTGTAGAGAGAACACCAGATCTAGAACCGGTCCCAGAGGAACAGCAGCAGCCTGAGACCAAAGCTCCGGAAGCAAGTCTCCCCCCAGATCAGCCAGGTTCTTGAGTCAGACGTCACCAAGGATTGCAACTTCTATACCCAGGCAGAGAGTTTGGAGTTTATTCCTGGCTAGTGGTGAATCCAGTCGAGTTGTTCTCCTTTCTAATTTAATAGACAGAAAGAAGATCTCTAACACAACCATTTGCAAATGGCAGTATGCAAGCAATGAAATAATATGACAGATGGTGTAGTTCTTTTCCTTTACTGGGCAAACCCTCACTACCATTGTTCCCTCTAAGCTAAGTTCACAGTCTTTTAGCCTCCAGCTCACAGATTTTTGTCTTAGCCCAGGAAGGATGGCTCCAGAGCAAACTAATTTATGTGACAGCTCACAACTTTGATGCCAGAATTTTTGCTCACAAGACTCCACAGCTTAGAGGGAGCATTGCTCACCACCCAAGTATTCTCCGGGTAGCTTTCCCCTGTTTCTCCGTTGCTTCCCCAAGCCGTTACTGAGGGGATGACAGACTTTCCCTCAACCCTCCTCCCTGCTTCTGATTGGCTGATGCCGCTTAGTATCTGCCTACTCCGCCTGTTGGCAGGGATTGGCTGGGGTGCCTGGAGGGTGGAACTAGAAGCCATCCATCACAAAGGCCCACTGGGGGGGATTTCTCCCACCCCCAAGTGGGTACGTAGCAACCCTGGCTGAGTGCTGGAGAGCTGAGAACACAGTTATATAAATGGTAACAGCCCAAGACAACTAGTAAACCGGAAAACAGGCTGACACTCAGTGCTTAGGATGAAATGAAATACAATTTCTCCACTGTATTTAACAATGTTATTTTATTATAACTAATAACACATCCACACTGTTACATATTCTGTTACATATGCACACCAAAAATACAGAAAAAACGTGTGTTCAAAAGTACAGGAAAAAAGTGGGTTGACGAAACTCCCCAGAGTTGATTTTCGTTTCGTTCACAACTTCATCCTAACATACTGAAGCACCTTACAAAATGACATAAGAGGTTATGCAATGCAATGCAATGCAATTATACATATGTTGAATATGTTTTTATACAGATTTTCAAGAGAGACTACCACGGTACATTGCCTTATAATAATTTTTTATTGAATAGAAATAGCTGTATAAAAATAGCTTCAACATATGTATTTTGAAATTTTGAAGCTTGGAAAAAACCCGTTTCCCCCCGGGTTTTTTGGGGGGGGAAACAGAAATTTTCAGAAAAATTGGGGAAAATGCCACATTAGCACTTTTTTTTTCTTTTCCAAATTGAAAGTCATTTTGTTACTTTAGGAACATAAAATATGACTGTGGACATTTTTACTTTGGCATGAAATTATTACAACTAGCATATTAAAAATATAGTGTATCCAAACTATTATTACAAACAGAATACCCACCCACATGCAAAAACAAAACTGAAACTTTTTTCCCTTTGTGACAATAGCACCTTCTAAAGGAAGAAATGCATTTTGTTCTTGCACTGGAAAGTTCAGTTTGTAACCTAGGACTTGCTTGTCCTCAGTGCACAGAAATTAGATCAATCTGATACCATACATATTTTTTTAGAAACGATTCGGAAAATGTTTGAACACCTTGTCCTAAAATATTTTATTCATCATGTTAAAATAAAATGATCCATAATCCATTTGCTTTGCTTTTCTTTTTTCAATTTTTCCAATTTTTTTTGGGGGGGAAAGGCTTCAGGAAAAAAACGGGGGGGGGGCACGTTTCCCCCCCCCCCCGAATTTTTCCATTTTTTTTTTCTGGGCCTTCACATCTCTATCTGGGACCAGTGTATCTTTGGGACCGTCTCCTCTGGTATGACCCTAGGAGAGGGCTATGCTCTGTTGAGAGTAATCTGCTGGTGATCCCCAGCCCCAAAGATATCTGGCCGTCCACAGACCTGGCAGAACTCTCTGCCAACTTCCATCAGGGCTTTGTGGGACTTCATGTCATTCTGCAAGGGCTGTAAGGCAGAGATGTTCCACCAGGCTTCCGGGTGAGGGCAGCGATGGTTCCCCATCATAGCTGGCACCCTCCTCTTCTCTTCTTTTTTCCTTTTCCATCCTGCCCGCTTCGACCTCCTCCTCAACCTGTCCCTGAGACAGAAGAACACAGGGTTCAGATCAAATTACAAATGCCATCGGAAGACTGTGAAATTTTGGGATGAACTGCTAGTTGATTTTAAACTGTGCTTTGTATATTGATTTATTGTAAATCGCCCATAGCCCTGTGTACTCAGGGATGGGGCAATTCAGAAAATTAAATTGTAGAATAAAAAAGTTGCTTTTTATGGTTGAAATGGACAAAATGACAAGAAAACTCAAGAATCAGGAAGTGGAAGAATTTTTTGCAGACTGGATAGATCTTAAAGAATATCTAGAGAAATATTGGGATGTGAAGAATAATCTATTTTGTTTTGATAACTATTAGAGATGGAAGGATATTTAGAGTTAGTTCAAATGTGTAAGAATAATAGTTTAAAGAAATGTTACCTTATAAGTTTAATTATTGATGTGGGGAGGAGAAGAAAATAGAAGATTTGGAAGGGAGGTGGGAGCGGGAAGCCAGAAGGGGGGAGATATGGGGAGAAAAGGATATAAGATGATGCTAAAATGTTATATTGGTTGAATTGATGTTATATCCAAATAAAATTGTTTTTAAAAAAAAGGAAAAAAAGAAAATTAAATTGTAGCAGCAGCAGCAATAACAACAACAACAACAACAATAATAATAATAATAATAATAAGACAGAGGTTAAGACAAGATCCTGGTTTACCAGCCAATCCTCATTTGAGGAAGCCTATTCAAGAAAAGCACAGGAAAAAGAATATCTGAGTGAATCACGTCCTGGGCTGTGAGTGATACGCTGAACAGTTCCTCTTTGTGGTGTATGATTAATTGATTTAGTGGTGTTCTTTTTTTAACCATGCCTCAAGAAAGATTTAAAAAAAAATACTGGCAGATATTTAGATTGCAAAAGTATGCACGCTTTCTAGGAAGTCCCCGTGAAGGGCGCAGGCTTTCTTCTGAAGACAAACTCCGGGATCAGGTGACTCGTAGCATTTGGCCTTCACCCAGCTCCAATCACACATTCTGCACGTGACTCATAGTCCCGGAGGGTGATGTGCGTTCCCCCTACTGTGTCATGAGACGCACCCAGCAGGTTCAATGGGGCCTAGATGGACATCAGTGCCTTTACTGCACGTGAGCCCACTTGGTGGATCACAGCAATTTTATTTAACAAATAACATATATTAAAATCTGTATCTGTCACTCCATGCCTCATTTATCAATTTATTCTTGAATTAAGGGCCTCATCTGATCTCAGAAGCTAAGTGGGGTCAGCCCAGGTTAGTACTTGGATGGGACAGCAGCAGCAGCAACAGAAGAAGAAGAAGAGATTGGATTTGTACCCCGCCCTTCACTACCCAGAGGAGTCTCTGAGCGGCTTACAAACTCCTTTCCATCCCTTCCCCACAACAGACACCCTGTGAGGTAGGTGGGGCTGAGAGAGCTCTGACAGAGACTGCTCTTTTTCAAGGACAGCTGTGCCAGAACTACGGCTTGCCCAAGGTCATCCAGCAGGTGCAAGTGGAGGAGTGGGGAATCAAACCCGGTTCTCCCAGATTAGAGTCCGCGCACTTAACCACGACACCAAGCTGGCTCCAAGGAAGTCTGGGGTTGCTCTGCAGAGGCAGGAAATGGCAAGCCACCTCTGAATGTCCCTTGCCTTGAAAACCGCACAAGGAGTCACCATACGTTAGCTGCCACTTGTACGTACAAGCAGATGCTCCGACCTGGATAGCCCGGGATAGCTGGGTGTTTTTATTTATTTGTTCGACTTATATCCCGCCCCTCCCGCAAGCCAGCTCACCCTGAGTAACGACAACGGAACACGTGCAACAATTAAAACAAGTTATATAAGCAATACCAGTTGAAATGAGAAAATATTGGTCTAGTCAGCAGCAATTCATGCATCTCGCAACGTTAAAAAACAAGCAACAGAAACAGGAAACCCACTGACCGAAGGTGTAGTGGTAGGTCTTTCACACGGGCAGATTTCATAGGGCAAGTTCTCAGCTGGGGAGGCCAAGTGACTGGGCGTCCGCCTCCTCAGCCTGGCGGAACAGCTCCATTTTGCAGGCCCTGAGAAACGGCAATAAGTCTCACAGGGCCCTCAAGTGGGAGCATATTCCACCAGCCAAAGAATCCTTTGGCTTCTCTAGAACCATGTTTCTCCATCTGCATACTCACAAGACTGAAAATACAGCTTGAACCAATCAGACCCTGATCCACGCTCCTTCAGCAGAGCACTTCTTGGAAAAACCATATTTATGCACCTGCAGGGGTCATTTCCTGCAGGAGCGCACAGGAGTGGCAGTAAGGAGCCCAGGGAGCAGGCATATGCAACAAGCCCCACCCCCTGCTCCCAGCAGCCCTCAGTCGGGCCACAAGAAGCAGCCAGGTAAGTTGCAGAGACCCCCCCCCCGGCCCACCTTCAGGTACAAGCTCTCCCTCCTCTGTGAGGGCAGATCTGCACGTTCTCCCTCCCCCCCCTCCAATAGCTAGCAATCCAAAACAGTCTAGTGGAGCCTGAGCGGTGGGGGTTGCCTTCTGACACACTTCTGGTGATGTCAGGGGGTGTGGCATATGCAAATAAGTTATGCCAATGAGCTCCTGCACCTCTTTTTCTACAAAATGACCCCTGTGCACCTGTAAATGCTGAGAAGAAATAGAGGTTTTGGGGCCTCTTGACACACATGATGGTGCCTAATACCTAGAAGTCGAAGCCGTTCTTTTCTGCTTGGTGGAGCGGTTAAGAGCAGTGGACTTTTAGAACTTGGATGGGAGACCCTCAAAGAAGTCCAGGGTTGCTACACAGAGACAGGCAATGGCAAACCACCTCTGAACATCTCTTGCCTTGAAAACCCTTATCAACTGCAACTGGACAGCCCTTTCGACCACCATGCAAATGTTTACCAAAGACAGATGATAGCAATGCATTCATTGACATATAGCCAGACTGGTTGTT